ACTTTTTATACTCTCTTCATGTGTTGTGGGGGCAAATGGATGAGAGGGATTTGGCCAAGAGGCATCAAAAGAGGCATTCACTTCATCTGCCCCAGCCATCTGCACATCGGTCCATACAGCTCAGATATGCTGTGTGCTGTGTCGGGCTTGGGAGCCATAGAGAAGTGTAACACACCCTTCCTGCTTTAGAGAAGCTGGGTTTTAAATCAAGTGACAGCACAACATGAAAACATAAAAAGCAAAAAATTTAGGGGCTCAGCAGTCTATGGCTGAGGTAAAAGAGCATTCAACTGAGTATAGATAGTGACACTATAACGGAGTATAGATAGTTTTCTTTACATGTGCTATTTTAAATAAGGGCTAAATAAATTAAATATACACACACACATTGACAGTAATTCTTACTGCAGCCTTGCTGATTACCCCCAGTTTATAAAGAAACTCAGCTGATAATAGATGTGTTTAGTAAGTGCTTAATGTTCTAAGTTTATTAAGTGCTTAGTATTCTAAAATCTATTTTAAAATTTTGTATGAAATGTGCATCCCACTGAGGGGTAGGTACAATCATTTTCTACATCTCACAGCTGGAGAAACTGAGGCTCAGATGGGCCTAGTAAGGAAAAAAGGATATCAAGATCCACTTGAGGCCCAAAGTCAGGACTGTTTCCATTGCATCTGCACCCTTCCTCACGCTTCTTTTTCCTCCTTTTGGTTCCTAAGGCAACTGGCAATAGATATTCTGTCCATCCATCTGATCCTTGCTTACTCAGTTCTTGATATGTGTCTGCTTCTGAGCTAGGCTCAGAGGAAGCAGCTACAGTCCCTGACCTCACGGTACTCAGTCTCGTTGGAGATATAGAAAGACACTGAATATGTGAGTGAGTGAATGAATGAACGCCAAAAGTTTCACTTTATATTTACATGAGGTGTCTTCCAGCCCGGATACATTGGCAGCCCTTGTCTTCTCTGAGTTCTAAACTTTGTGTTTCTAAACCCATTTCCAAACTTTTTTAGCCATTTTAATGTCACTATATAAAGTGTCTGGGACCTCGTTTCCACCATCTGCACATTTATTGAACGTGCTCAATGCTCCATCATTGTCTCATAACAACTGCAGGTACAAGAGAAGCCACCAAATCCAGTACGTGACTTTGCTGATGGTTTATTCCCTTCAGGAGAAAAGCCTTACACAGAGAAATTGAGCAATGAAAGCCTTCACACCGAGCAAACTTGTTCCCCACTACACAAATCACGAGAAAAATGAGGACTGTTGTGAAACATGACAGATTGCCCAAGTGTTATTTTTCTTCTATTGGAAAATTCTAAGACGTTTCCTCATGTGTAGTTTTTCAGTCACAAAAATGGCAGTAGGAATATTTAAATATTAAATCACAGTTTGAAAATAGATATATACATATATATACACACGCAGAGATACATAGTTGACTGTTATGATTCCCAGATATGCAGGGTTTACATTGTGGCTGCTTTGCATCAAGACAAGTTTGTAAGAAGCAGTGACATAGTTCAACGTAGTAGTCAGGAGCTAGATTACTTCCCTGTAATTGCTATAGACACACGGTACAAGGCTAGCGAGATTACAGACAATCATATCATTTGAGTCTACTATCTTTGATAACTCTGAATCATTTTCAAAGTTAAAATTGCAGCTATTGTCAGTAAAGTGCCTCTTATAAAGGTCATGCCTTCTGATCTGGGGACAGAATAACTAGGCGTAGCACAATAAGAGATGGCTCAGGTATCGGACTATCCTGGGTTTCCAGTCTTGGTCTGCTGTTCACTAGCTGGTAAGACCTTGAGTAAACTATTAAACCTCTGTGAGACTCAGATGATAGTGCCATATTCTGTAGGTCTGCTGTGAAGATTAAATGAGATATGGTAGGAAAGCACTTTCCACAAGGCTTGGTGTATGCTAAGCGCTCATCAAATGCTTATAATAAGGTTTAGCAAGATTTAATTTGGTGAATTCAGATCTCCCTCTCTTTTGCACACCTAAGCACACCTGAGTAATTCACTCTAAGTACTAATGTAAATTTCCTCAGCCAAGGTTAACTAACCCGTAGGGTACATTTTCTTTGTCTCAGAACATATAGTTAACAAGGGACCAGAGAGGTGATGATCTATTTGGTCTATTTGAAGCCCCTTGTAGATATGATTCTCCAATAGGAGTCATTCAGGTCTTTTCTAGAGGCCTCTGCAGGAGCAGGGACTGATAGAATAAGCTGGTGTTTGGGCTCTAACTTTTTGGGGGCTGACTTCTCAGAAAATCTGAGTCCCAGATGTTCCATTTATAAAATAGTGAAGAGATGTATACTCAAAATTGCTGTAACAATTAAATAAGATAATGAACAACTTAGCATAGTGCTTGGCACCGAGTAAACAATCAATGGAGATTTTTTCCATTATATCTATTATTCTTAATTTTTGTTGAATCCGGCCACACCATTGCAGGGAAATTCTGACTTAGAAAGAGCTTCATTACATTGGATCCAAATTTCCTTATCCATGACTTCAACCCATGGGTCTGAGACTTGCCCTCTGCGCTCTGCATAAGATAGTTCCATTTCTCAAAATCAATGGCGACTGGGTTTTTCTGACCACCTTCTTCCACCCATTGCCAGAATAATCCCTAGTTTCTCCAACCCGACTTCCTATGATCTTTGAAAGCTAAGTCCAGTTTCCCAAATTGAGATGCAAATTCAGTAAGAACCTAGCTCTTAGGTTTCCACTGAATTTCAAATGGAGTGAGCTGTTATCCAGCCTTGTAATTTGTAGATGGCAGGTGTTTTCACTCTAAGAAAATCTAATATGATTCACACTGACTTACAGAAGAGATCACTCATGGGGTGAATTCTCTTTATACAAGAATTCTTATATATGCATACACAAATATATGTATATATACATACACATTTCTTTAAAATATTAAATGTCTCTTTTGCTAAGGCACTTAATATAAAATTTTGACTGTTAAAATTATATTTTCATGTCGCTTTGGAAGAAGAGAGCTTCGAATAAAAGTAGGAACACATGCACAGCTTCCCGTATTCATCAAGTATTTAATGAGCGCCACTGTATGACTTGCACTGGACTAGGTTTTGGGGAGGTCATAGTAAGGAGGACAGATTCCCAGTCCTTTTCCTGTTTAGGAATCTCTCTGCACACTGCACAGAATTCCCTGTGAATAACTACATAACATTCAATATGCAGCATTGGGTAAACAGAATCATCTTTTAAATGTGTGATGAGAGCTGGTTCTGATGGGAAAGAGGGGAGAAGCTATAGGGGATTTGTGGATTTTTGTGTGTCCCATATTTTTTTGATACTTAAGCGCCTAAATTATCAGAAAATCAGATATTCTTGTCCTTTAAAAAGGAGCTAGAAAGACAATAAGAGGGGAAAATGACAGTGAAAAAAAGCCACTTATTCCCATATGTTTTCCTATTTTCCTATTCTGACACATTTGGAAGCTCTAAAAAAAAAAAAAGGAGAAAATATGGGTTATAAAGACAGTCCAATTTCTATCTGAATCCTACTTTCCCACTCACCAACTGGGTGACTCTGGTCAAGTTTTCTCACCTCTATGAGCTTCCATTTCACATTTGTAAGGACAGAAATAATAATGGGAACTTCTCAACATTGTCGAGAAGATTCAGTGAGCTAATATATGCAAAGCACTGAGAGCAATGTCTGGCACAGAAAAGGCCCTAAATAAAAGAATTCTAACAGTAAATATTATATTTTACTAATACAATAAATAATAGCCTGATATTCATTAACAATAACCTTTTCCTTTTAGCTTCAACCTCTTCAGGTTTAAACCCTTGTTAAGGCTATTTCTGTTTCTAAACAACTGGTAAACTTCTATCTTCATACCAGGAAACTGCCATTTGGTCAGCAGAACCAAAGGCTGTTAAATGAGTCTCTGCAATAGATGTGCCCTGAGCATGGGGGCCCTTGGAGTCCCACAGCTTCCAGCTCTAGAGATCACCCCAGGCTGCTACCAAGTGGACCCACTTCTTGGTTTGACCCACACCCCTACCTGAACCTGTCTTGGTCATTTCAGTGGGTCTGGCATGGTCTGCAGCTGGGTCTGTCAAGGCTCTGTAAGAGTAGAGGAATGTTCCAGGGCACCACTCTCAGGGGCCAGACAGGCCGGTCCAGAGGTCTTACCAATTCCTATGAGCCCCAAGCCGGACAAGGGAGAAGATTCAAGGAAGAGCCTGGCCAAGTACCCAAAGCCCTGCCATTCAGCAGCTGATTCAGTGTGAGAGTCAATTGGTCCTTCTGAAATGGGCTGACCTTGTCCTGTCTCTGGAGTATTAACTGGGGGCTTTTCCCATCAATAAGAATGTTTATCAAATTTTATTTCTGACTGGGAGCAACCTAATCTGTACCCTTCACAGTGTAGGGTTGAAGAGAAACTTAACCTCAACAATGCCCAGGTTAATGGATACAACTTTCCATTAAAAATCAAAATCAAGCAACTATTCACCTCACTTGGCAAATGTTCGATGACCTTGAGGTGCACACATATTTGGAATCAGGATGGTTTTCGTGTGTTAACGTCAGAATTACCCATTCTAGTACCTCTTGGCAGGCTACAAATAACAGATTATTCTATTGTTCCAAATTCCATCTATCCATCTGAATGGACCCAAAGAGTCTTGTGGTTTGGCATCTAAAGAAGAAATTAGTGATATTAGAAGTCTACCTGATTCAATTTCTTGGGATTTAGGCAAGATCCAGCAGGACTTCTAGTGACTTGGAAAGGTTGGATCAGGCTTGGGTATAGTCCAGAACAGCTAGAGACAGGCATTTTTCTTTAGAGTAGATGCTGAATGATGTCAAGGAGAAAACTCATAGTATGGGCCTGAGCAGCACCATCATGGGTCATTTCGGTGGTTAGAGACAGAAAAGGAGGCCAAGGGTCCAGATCAGGGTAACTAGGAATGAGTGGGAAATTGACAAAATAAGGCTCAATGGTGAAAAGTTATTGACCATAGGGCTGACTGCTTCACAGGCATTGGGTCAGTCTCCAAGACCTAAGATTTGTGCCTGCCTAGTTCGCAATTTCTGAGAAGTCAGGGTAGGATTCCAAATCAGCAAAGATGTCATTGGGATTCCTACAGCTCAGGTTGCAGAAGCAGGCATTAATCCATAGGACCTGGCGGGAGAAGCCAAGCCCATCAGGACACTGGAAAGACACGTTGATGGTCTTGGACTTGTAGGGGATGCAGCACCTGCTGTCCCTACAAACTCCACAGTATTTGGGTTGATAGGAGCGTGTGCTGATGCAGCCGGCGAGGGTGAAGTTCATGGATGCCTCTGGCTGGTACACAGCCAGACACTTCTTCCCTGCCTGAAGGAAAGGAAAGGCACTTTCAGTGGGGGTGCTCAGAGAATGCACAATCACCTTCTTCCCCTGAGCCCCGTTTTTCCTTCCTCACTATGTGGGAGCATTCCACCTTACTTTCAGCTTCACAGCATCCTCAAGCAAGGAGGTACAATAGCAAACACAGTGAGATCCAGTGTACTGCACAGGGGTAAATGGAGGACCACAGAGGAACATGTTTTGTTTGGGTTGTATCTCACAGCCTGCACTTTCTCTTTTGTCCTGCGTTTTTGTCTTGCCTATGGCCGTTCATCGTGGTTTCACCAACATGGGGAGCCTGTGTAGCTCCTTCATCCAAGCAAGTTCCCCTGTCTAGCTAGTGGCAGAACTGGCATCAGGACTTCATGCTTAGGGGACATGCTTTGCCCTAACTTCCCTGCCCGCCTTTGCCTCTCGTGGTCTTTCACACATACCTTTAATATGCAATGTATTCAAATGGATTTACATTATTAAAAGGTAACTCTACCTTCCACTGGGCTATGGGCCACTTGAGATTTGCTGTTCTTTCTGTGTCTCTGTGGTATAATTCCATGCCTAGTACAGAGTAGGCACAGAGTAAACCCATTGGATTGAGGGTTCTCAGGGTCTACTGTGTACAGCCCCATGCTAGATCTAGGCTGTATGGCGGCATGAATCTTCCCAATTTGGGAAACCCTCTGAGGGTATATAATTCTGGAAAAACATTGGTTAGAAATCAAAATTGGCTTGGACTTGAATTATCTGGTCTAGTAATGGTAGAGCCATCTCACTCAGCTTAGGACCTTTTCTCTAATTCTTCTGCAGCTGGTACATTTTCCATGTATGTTTTCAGTTAAGAGATGTCTATGGAATGCTTACTGTATACCAAGTGCAGAAAATACAAAAGCTAGTATTACAGGGAAAAATAATCAGAGAGGAAGAAGAAGAAAGAAGAGGAGAAGAAGGAGAAGGAAGAAGAAAAATGGATCCAGTTGATCAATATGTAGATGACTGGAGAAGGTGTCTAGGGGATGAGCAGTGATGTTGGATGTCTGAAGAGGATCACAGGGAGCCGTGCTGCCTTTTTTACACTGGAGGCAACCCTGGCCTCAACATCCCTAAGAAACCATCAGCATTCCAAAAATGGAATAACTGTTGAATTTTTTGTTTTGTTTGCTTTGATTTTCATGTGACAAAAGACTGACCACTCCTAAGGCATGAGTGAGGGAGACTTGAATTAGATAAATCAGATCCACGTTTAATTCTGAAGCTGGGGCTCAGGCTAATGTGGCCCAATTTTCTTTGATGCTTTATTTTAATTATCTTGGACTCTTAAAGCTGAAAGGGATTTCAGAGATCAACTCCAATATCTTAATGATGAGGGAATGGGGGCTCAGTGATGAGCAGAGATTGGCCACAGTCACATGCAATTAATGCAAGTAGACATTTGACTCTAGGGGTCCTGAGCCTCATTTAGTGCTCCCTATATCACCCAGTGTGGCTGCTCTGTGTGAGTGGGTTGGCATGGGAGTGAAGGGAGGATAGAAATTGGTAAGGATCCCTCAGAATCATTATAGAAGACCACTCCTGACGGTCCCTGAGGTTTTCCTGGAGTGATCCTGATTCTAATAACATGATGCTTACCAAAGCTTCCACTGAGTGAAATTCACAGTGCACCAATCTGGTGACCTGCATTATCCCAAATAGCTGTTACACCAGATCTACCAGGTGAGCTTAACTGTTCCCACTTTACAATATTCCCACTTTACAAATGCTTCCCACGAGGAAGTTCAGGAGCCAGGCTCAAATCCGGATTTGTCTGCTTGTGAAGTCCAGACGTCCACCCCTGCTCTGGACCCACCTTAATGAGTGTACGGATGTCCACATCGCATGGCCGCAGGTTGCAGAGGCGGCTTTCTTGCTCAGGCCAGCACTGGGCATTAACATTGGAGATCCGAGTGGAGACCCCCAGGCCGCAGCTGGTGGAACAAGGGCTCCAGGGGCTTGTGTAGGCTATGCAGTTCCTGTGCCACGGCTCTATCTCACCCACAGCATCTGTGTGTGGGGACCAGAATCTGCATGAGTCTACAGCTCCCACCAGCCCCCAACCCTCACCTTCACCACACTAAGGTCTGGGGTCCCCAGAACTCAGGGGAACAGAGAGACATTGGCTGTCCCTCCCCACAGGACAAGTTGGCTTCTAACCAGCAAAGGTACCCAGGGAGTGGAGGACATGTTCTGAACTCCTTGTATTTTTCTGATCAAGAGAAGCAGAGCATGGGAGGAAACCCATCTTTAGAGACAGGTGGACCCAAGTTCAAATTCTGCTCTATCACCTACAAGCTGTGTGATCTTAGATAACCCACCCTGGGCCTTTCTCCCTATTAGAACAATAACAGCTGCCTATGGGGCTGGCAACACAATAACAGGGCTTAGATTTTTACTGAGTATGCATCAAACATCTTGCCAGGTGCTGGGAATAGAACTTATTTTATTATTGTTACTATTTTTTGAGATGGAGTTGCTCAGGCTGGAGTGCAATGGTGTGATCTTGGCCCACCGCAACCTCTGCGTCCTGGGCTTTAAGTTATTCTCCTGTTCATCCTCCTAAGTAGCTGGGATTACAGGCATGGGCCACCATGCCCAGCTAACTTTGTATTTTTGGTAGAGATGAGGTTTCACCATGTTGGTCGGGCTGGTCTCGAACTCCTGAGCTTAGGTGATCTGCCCACCTCGGCCTCCCAAAATGTTGGGATTACAGGCATGGGCCACCGCGTCTGGCTGGAAATAAGACTTTTAAAAGACATTCTCCTGCCTCTGCAGAGATAAAGTTTACTTGGGGGAAGTTCAAAGGCAAGTAGCTACATCCTAGCACCTAACATTTTGTTTCAGTGATGCCGAGGGCATAGTGGTTAAGAGGGCATACGGGCTTCTTTGGGAGGCCAAGGCAGGTGGATCACTTGAGGTCGGGAGTTTTGAGACTAGCCTGGCCAACATGGTGAAACCCCATCTCTACTAAAAAATACACAAACTAGCTGGGTGTGGTGGCATGTGCCTGTAATCCCAGCTACTCAGGAGGTTCAGTCACAAGAACTGCTTGCATCTGGGAGGCAGATGTTTCAGTGAGCCGAGATCATGCCCCTGCACTCCAGCCTGGTCTAAAAAGCAAGACTCTGTTTAAAAAAAAAAAAAAAAAAAGGGAAAAAGAGGACATACACTCTTCATCTGGCAGCACTGCTACTTGCTGGCTATGTAATTTCCAATAAGCTAACTCACACCTCCTTGCCTCAGGATCCCCACCTGCATATGGGGTTGGCTATAGCATCCCTTTCCCGTACCGTGATAGAAAAGACAACTTCACGCCTATGAAAGCACCCAAGCTGTCCCTGGCCTTTAGTAAGCTAAAGCCCTTAGTTAATGTGAGTCTGTGTGGTCATTTGACTATCAGCCAACTCAACTACCCACTCTTGGATGGTCCTATTGATGCACGTATCTCCCGCGTCTAGAAGATGGTAGGTGCTCTCTAACCATCTGAAAAGTGGAAAACGGTAGCGAACTCAAGACCAAAGCAGGTTAAAAGCTGTTAAGACAGAGAACTGCCCACAGAAAGACAGAACAAGATGCAGAGGAGAGGAGGCCTGTCCCATCCAAACACACATATGCATGAGGAGAGGAGGGAACAGGCAGAGAGGGAAGGGATGGAAAGACAGATGGAAGCTCAGAGAAAAGAGAGAGAAAGAAGGAGAGGAGGAGAGAGAAAAGAGTGTGTGTGTGAGAGAAAGAAACAGAGGGAAGGTAATAAAAGTGATAAAAAGAATGAAGGGAGGGAAAGAGAGGGGAAAAGATAAACACAGAAAAGAAGAGAAATGTGACTAAAATTAGGAGAAAGAGGAAAGGTAAGTCAGTTCTTCCAAGCTTATAGGTGTGCAGAGAATATTGATGAACGAATGCAGGAATCACTGAGTGAGAGAGGGAGAGACTTGAATGAAATGGGAGGCATCCGAGGACAGGAGGGGCAGGGCTGGCAGGAACTGGAGCTGCAAGCACCTTGGGAGGCAGTGGGGAGGGATTTGCCCAGAAGGATAAAAGCTTTGGTTTTTGGGTCACCTCTGCTAGGCAGGGGCTCTGCTTGTGCTCAGTCAGCACGGGGTCACTGGGCCACACACAATGGACAGACAGCTTCTGCTTCCCTGCTTCCCCCGTGACCCTCATGCAGCCCTGCTGGGGAGGTGGTGGTGAGACAGCTGCCTTGCTGCCCTGGGGCTGCTGGGGACAACACTGTCCTCCATGCCTCCTCCTATCCACCCAGGACTGCTTCTCCACCTGGCAATTTTGTCTCTTAGGGTGCATTTGGCAATGTCTGGAGGTGGTTTTGGTTGTCACACCTCTGAGGGAGAGGGTGCTACTGGCATCTAGTGGGTAGAGCCCAGGGATTAGATTGCTGGGATTTAGTAGCCATGCATTAGATTGCTACTAAACATCCTCCAATGCACATGACAACTCCACCACAAAGAATTCTCTCATCCAAGATGTTGACAGTACTGAGCTTGAGAAATCCTGCCCCACACCGTACCTGAGCAGTCTTTAGCATCTATAATTTTAAAAAAACCCACCAATACCCTTAGAACTCTCACTCTATTGCCATTTTTCCACTGCTCTCTACTGCTTGCCTGGTAAGCACTTTCCTCTAGAAATGTCCTCATCTGCTTCCTGCCATGGCATCAGATGCTCCTGGTTTTCTTCCTACATCCCAACCCTCCTCTTGATTTCCCCATGCCTCCTCTTATCCTCTTCACCCTTCAAATGTCAGCATTCCCAGACCTCTGCCTCAGGCCCCCTCTCTCTCACTCTGCATGTTACCCTCAGGCCATCCCAGCCATCACCACCAGCAGCTCCAAGCAGATGACTTCAGAGCTCTCCTATTTCCTCTCCTTCCTCCTCATAAAGAGAAACTGGAAGCTCCTCTTAAGATCCCGTGGACAGGGCACTCTGCCTTAAATTCAGTCTGTTTCAAACTAAGTAGATCTCCCTTAGCCCAAATGTGCTGCTTCTCTTGTATTTGATCCTAGGCAATGGCAAGCCCTGGGAGTCAGCCTCTGGCTCTCTTTCTTCTTCACCCCATGTGTTAAATTGACATTAAGACCTTCAATCTCACTGAAGAAATGCCTCTTGTGCCTGTTCCTTCTTTGCTGCCTCTACTCCCACTACCCTAGTTCAGATCCTTATTAGCCCATCCATCTATCCACCCACCCACCCATCCATCCATCCATCCACCCATCCACCATCCATCCATCCATCTATTAACTGATCCATCCATCATTCACCTATTTGCCCATCATCTATCCATCCAATCATCCATTTATTTATACATCCATCTATCTATTCATTCATCCATCCATTTATCAGTTCATCCATCATCTATCCATCCATTCATCCATCTGTCCACTCATCTACTTATTTATCCATCCATCCATCCATCCATCCATCCATCCATCCATCCATCCATCTACTCATACATCTGTCTGTCTATTCATCTATCCATCCATCTACCCACCCATCTATTTATACACCTATCCATCAATTCATCTATCTGTCAACTCATCAATCCACCCATTTATTCATACATCCACCTATCTACTTATCCATCCATCTATTAATCCACCCATTCATTCATCATCCATCCATCCATCACCTATCCATCCACTCATCCATCTATTTATACATTCATGTATCTATTTATCCATCCATCTCTTCACCAATCCATCCATCCACCCACCTATCTATTCATCCATCCATCTACCCACCCACCCATATGACAAACATTAATTGGGTACATGCTAAATGTATGGCCCTGGGCTACATTCCAGTAAGCAGCAGTGAAACAATTGGGCCCCTCCCCACCCTCCTTTTCCAGGGCTTCCTCTTATCTGGTTTACCTGGCTGAAATCTCACCTGCCCACCCATCTTCATAGCAAGGGGGAAGCCTCAAGTCATCATGAAGCTTCTACTAGACCCATCTCGTCTTGCTCATGCCTCCTCTCCTCAGGTACCCACACACCTACCCTTCTTCCACCACCCATCCCTAACGCTTTAGTAGGATAATAATGGATTGCACTTTTAGGGCTTTGTTCTTTACAAAGCACTCCTCATTTTATGCTGGGAGGATCCCATAGGCCAGACTAGACAGATGGGATTATTTCTGTTTTACAGATGGGGCAGTAGGGTCTCAGGGGAGGTATGACTTTCTCAAGGTCACAAGGCTAGTAAGTAGTGGACTGGGGAATGAGTCATTCTATGGTGGTCAGAGCTCCAGGAGGGTCCACAACCCGTTTGTACCGTCCCGCCTCCAGCCCACTCGGGCCCACACCCACCGAAGGCTCCTGTGTCACGGGGTGCGGTCTTGCGTGGCCTCCTGGCGTCGTCCTCACACACCCACCGCTCACAGCAGTGGCCGGGTAGGCTCACGCGCCGCGGGTTGGGGCACCAGAGACGCGGGGGGCGCACTCGGAGGCACAGTGGTGTGCAGCCCACCGCACCGTCGATGCATGTGCAGTTGTACTTGCAGTTAGGCTGGAAGGACTGGCCATTGTTGTAGCGCACCCCATCCAGGACGCAGCCCACACCGACCACCTCTGCAAACACAGGCGGCGGGTCAGGTCCAGTGGCCTTGATGCCCCTGGCCGGCCCAGCTGCCTTTATAGGGGCTCCATGTGGACCACGCCCCAATCCCTGGGATGGCTACCAGCATGGGGGAGGAACAGAGGCACTAAGGCAAAGGCAGGGAGGTGTGAGAGTGCACAGGGCAGGGCTGAGTGTTTGGTGGGACTTCAGCAGAGGGAGTGCGGGAGTTCTTTTATAGCTTCAGCCAGCACCTAGGGAGTGGAAGGATGCAGCATCCCAAGGGACTTGCTCCCTGCAGGGTCCCCAGCACCAG